TTGCTCGGGATGTCTGCGCCTGTGGCTCGGGAAGTCTGAAAAGGCCAGGGCGCTGATGCTCATGATTCTCGCCTGTGGCTCGGGATGTCTGAAAGAGCCAGGGCGCTGATGCTCATGATGCTCGCCTGCGGCTCGGGATGTCTGAAAACGCCAGGCCGATGATGCTCATGATGCTCGCCTGTTGCTCGGGATGTCTGAAAAGGCCAGGCCGCTGATGCTCATGATGCTCGCCTGTTGCTCTGAAAGAGCCAGGGCGCTGATGCTCATGATGCTCGCCTGCGGCTCGGGATGTCTAAAAAGGCCAGGCCGCTCATGCTCATGATGCTCGCCTGTGGCTCGGGATGTCTGAAAAAGCCAGGCTGCTGATGCTCATGATGCTCGCCTGTTGCTCGGGATGTCTGCGCCTGTGGCTCGGGATGTCTGAAAAGGCCAGGGCGCTGATTCTCGCCTGTGGCTCGGGATGTCTGAAAGACTCAGGGAGCTGATGCTCATGATGCTCGCCTGTTGCTCGGGATGTCTGAAAAGGCCAGGGCGCTGATGCTCATGATTCTCGCCTGTGGCTCGGGATGTCTGAAAGACTCAGGGAGCTGATGCTCATGATGCTCGCCTGTTGCTCGGGATGTCTGAAAAGGCCAGGCCGCTGATGCTCATGATGCTCGCCTGTTGCTTGGGATGTCTGCGCCTGTGGTGAAAGAGCCAGCGCGCTGATGCTCATGATGCTCGCCTGTGGCTCGGGATGTCTGCGCCTGTTGCTCGGGATGTCTGAAATAGCCAGGGCGCTGATGCTCATGATTGTGGGCCGGGATGTCTGAAAAAGCCAGGCCGCTGTACTCATGATGCTCGCCTGTTGCTCGGGATGTCTGAAAAAGCCAGGCCGCTGATGCTCATGATGCTCGCCTGCGGCGCGGGATGTCTAAAAAGGCCAGGCCGCTGATGCTCATGATGCTCGCCTGTGGCTCGGGATGTCTGAAAAAGGCAGGCTGCTGATGCTTATGATGCTCGCCTGTTGCTCGGGATGTCTGCGCCTGTGGCTCGGGATGTCTGAAAAGGCCAGGGCGCTGATGCTCATGATTCTCGCCTGTGGCTCGGGATGTCTGAAACTCAGGGAGCTGATGCTCATGATGCTCGCCTGTTGCTCGGGATGTCTGAAAAAGGCCAGGCCGCTGATGCTTATGATGCTCGCCTGTTGCTTGGGATGTCTGCTCCTGTGGTGAAAAAGCCAGGGCGCTGATGCTCATGATGCTCGCCTGTTGCTCGGGATGTTTGCGCCTGTTGCTCGGGATGTCTGAAATAGCCAGGGCGCTGATGCTCATGATTCTCGCCTGTGGCTCGGGATGTCTGAAAGAGCCAGGGCGCTGATGCTCATGATGCTCGCCTGTTGTCTGCGCCTGAGGCTCGGGATGTCTGAAAAGGCCAGGCCGCTGATGCTCATGATTCTCGCTTGTGGCTCGGGATGTCTGAAAAAGCCAGGCCGCTGATGCTCATGATGCTCGCCTGTTGCTCGGGATGTCTGCGCCTGTTGCTCGGGATGTCTGAAAAGCCCGGCCGCTGATGCTCATGATTCTCGCCTGTGGCTCGGGATGTCTGAAAAGGCCAGGCCGCTGATGCTCATGATGCTCGCCTGTTGCTCGGGATGTCTGAAAAAGCCAGGGCGCTGATATGCACTGATGCTCATGATTCTCGCCTGTGGTTCGGGATGTCTGAAAGAGCCAGGGCGCTGATGCTCATGATGCTCGCCTGTTGCTCGGGATGTCTGCGCCTGTGGCTCGGGATGTCTGAAAAGGCCAGGCCGCTGATGCTCATGATTCGCCTGTGGCTCGGGATGTCTGAAAGAGCCAGGCCGCTGATGCTCATGATGCTCGCCTGTTGCTCGGGATGTCTGCGCCTGTGGCTCGGGATGTCTGAAAAAGCCAGGCCGCTGATGCTCATGATGCTCGCCTGTGGCTCGGGATGTCTGCGCCTGTTGCTCGGGATGTCTGAAAAGGCCAGGGCGCTGATGCTCATGATTCTCGCCTGTGGCTCGGGATGTCTGCGCCTGTGGCTCGGGATGTCTGAAAGAGTCAGGCCGCTGATGCTGCTCATCATGAGCGTCAGAGGGGTGATTCTTCACACATTGATGAGCGTCAGTGGCCTGGTTGTTTCACACACCCCGAGACACGGCCAAACAACATACTGAGCATCAACAGGGGCCGGAGGCGAGCATCACGAGCGTCAGCGGCTCGCCCCACAGCGGTTTCTGTTAGAGCCAAGGATGGACATCCACCTCGCAGAAGGTTCAGCAAGGCTTGAAGCAAGAGTGCTCTGTACCTCCTGTCAAGCAAACATCCGCACATACTAAAAGTGTGCTCTTTTTGCATGAGTGCTTTCTTGCTGTGCATCTGCGGGACATGGAATATCGTACAGATGAGCTCGGGACATGGAATGTCGTACAGATGAGCTGAAGCACCTGTTACTGGAAAAAAAGCATGCATTTCCGGCCCAATACCGATGATCCTGATCCTTCGTGTCCTTGTACGTACACGCAAGATACTCCACGCGATGATACATGTTCTCTGCTGGACATCCTGCTCATGCAACACAAAGTCTTCTAGCGCCCAATCAGAATGTGGCACGTCATGAGCAGCCAAATGGTGAAAGCTTTCAGGTTTGGTGCAATTAAAGTGGTAATCTACGCAGCACACTGACTGAGCTATTTTCGATCCACAGCTGTTTTACAAGCATGCGGGCTGTGCGTTCTAACTTCGCAGATCCAACCGTTCGATTGGATCTCATTTCTGTCGCGTGCAGGGGCGGGTCTCGACTGGGCAAGCTGCGAAGGGGAAGCTGGAGTCCAGCTGTGTGCTCAGACACGGACCCCCCCCCTGTCACGCAAGCACCACGAACCGTGCCAGCGATGGAAGGTGCGCCAAGCAAAGCGAGCAACGCGAGTGAGAGCACGGAAGCCTGCAAGGTCTAGCCACATTGCAAGTGTCTTGTCTAGTCACTGCATTGCCGCATGGTACTGCGAAGAATGTCTTTTCTTTGCCGGAGCTGTGAGACATATCGGCCGCTGCAGGATGTCGCTGAAAGTGCTGAAGCCTCGCTGAGCGACAAGGTTGCCAACCAAGCCGCATTTATGAGCAATGTCACGAATCACGAATGTGACGAACTTCACGTGTGGTACTGTAACTGGTGCGACGTTTCTTGCACGAATTGCAGTTAATTTCAGGACAAGCACCAACTGCGACTGCATCTGAAAGCGTGTCACGTCGGACAGGTTGCCTGTCCAACGCCTGGCACCCAAGCTTCCGACAATCTTCCCGATGGCAGCGCGCAGGCACACAGCAGTCCAGAGATCGCACCCAATGGTAGCTCTTGCAGTCGCTTCAGAGTGCTGTCAAGTATGTCTTTCCTGAGCCAGAGCGGTGAAAGATCGGCAGCTGCAGGATGTCGCTGAATGTGCTGAAGCTTCGCTGAGCGACAAGGTTGTCGACCAGGCCGCTTCCGTGAGCAGTCATGTCGCACTATACTTCAGGACAAGCACCAATTGCGACAGCATGTGAAAGCGTGCCATTTCGGAGAGGTTGCCGGTCCGACGCCCGGCAGCCAAACTTCCGACAATCTTCCCGACGACAGCGCACAGGCACACCCACAGCACTTCACAGATCGCGCCCTTAGGCAGGGTTTTTGTTGCATGCAGATGCAGGTTTCAACTGGGCATGTTGCCGAGGAGCCATACTGCAATGCTAGTTCTTGCAGTCGCTTCAGTTGCGGTGCTGTCAATTACGTGTTTCCTTAACCCGAGCGGTGAAAGCTATCGGCTGCAGGATGTCGCTGAATGTGTGGAAGCCTCGCCGAGCGACAAGGTTGTCAGCCAGGCCGCTTCCGTGAGTAATCATGTCGCACTGAACGCACAGGGAGCCTTGTGCGCGTGAGAAGCACTAGAAATAGGGTATATGAGGGTATCTTGTGATGCTTGGATAGGAAACGCCATGACGAGCCGGTGGGTTGCCAGAGATCTACAGGTTGCTTTAGGGTCCCAAAGCAAACTCGAGCACTCTAAGGTTTTGTGGTTGAAGTTCAGAGGTCAGTTCCCCAGATTGCTTGAATTCCAAAACTCGCCATCCCCTCGCCCGACACAGCCGCACCTGTCGTTTGTCGCCGCAGTTGGGTCAACAAGGTTCTGCCAGTGCCCTAGAGGCCCTAGACCCGAACTACTTAACCCCAAAACCTGTAAACCCTGTAAACCCTACAAACTATAAACCTAAACACCCTCAGCCATATCAACCCTATTAAACCCTATAAACCCTACTAAACCCTGTAAACCCTATAAATCTTAACCCTGTAAACTGCAAAACCCCCATAGCCTTTGTGCCAAGCTTCTTGGCTGCGCGATCAAGCTGGCCGCAGTCGGGGGTTTCCCAAATTAGGGGTACCTTATTGGGGTCCGTATTATAAGGAGATCCTGCTACTTTTGGGGGACTATATTGAGAGTCCCTTGTTTTCGTACACCCCCAGTCCGTGCCACCCATGGCGGTTGAGGACACACGATGGAGCCTGCGGGAGCAGATTGCAATACAGAGTCTGCTGCTGGCAAGTCGGAGCTCTGCCCCTAAACCCTAAACCCTAAACCCTAAACCCTAAACCCTAAACCCTAAACCCTAAACCCTAAACCCTAAACCCTAAACCCTAAACCCTAAACCCTAAACCCTAAACCCTAAACCCTAAACCCTAAACTCCTATGCTGTGGAAGCCGCACCTTTTGCCAAGGAGAGCTTCTGGGAATCCTCTGGGCCGAGCCGAGATTCAGGACCGTACGGGTTGTGGGAATTTGCTGTGCAATGCTCATCGGGCAATCTTAAGGTTTAGGGTTTAGGGAGTTTAGGGTTTAGGGAGTTTAGGGTTCAGGGTTTAGGGTTTAGGATTTAGGGTTTAGGGTTTAGGGTTTAGGGCTTAGGGTTTAGGGTTTACAGGGTTTAGGGGCTGGTGCTTTGCTGCTTTGTCAGTCCTGCAGAACCTTGATGCTGGCACTCTGGCTGTCAGACTTTGGAAGCTCGATTCATCGTCCGGAAGCTGGCCTGCAGTTGAGTTCTGAGTTGTTGCCGGCTGGCATCTTTTAGGGTTTAGGGTTTAGGGTTTAGGGTTTAGGGTTTTGCGCCTGGTTTTGAGACCCAGGTCATCACCTTCTTTTTCTTGCAGCTGGGAGCAACAGTGATGGATATTGGCTACCTCAGCTTCTTTATGGGAACTGCCAGCATGATCCTTTCACCTGTCTACGGCTGGATGGTGGACTCGCGTGGGGTGCTGAAGCCCTTTCTCTTATCTGCACTGTCCTGCGGGTTCGGCTGCCTTATCCGAGCCATTGCTAGCGCACCACTCCACTTGATTGCTGCTCAGATCTTCATGGGTGTTGGTGGTAGCTGCCAGTGGAGCATGGTCAAGGGCTTCATTGCTTCCGAGCTTCCGCACAGCAAACGCGCACTCCTTGTCGTGGGACTGCGTGCTCAGATGACACTGCTGACCTTAGGAAGCTTCTTGTATCCTGTGCTGGACTCAGGCTTGCAACTCGTTGGGTTTCAGGACAAGCTCCTGCGCTACAGGGCCGAGGTAGGAACCTGCGCGCTCTTCTGCTGGATCGGGATTCTGATTCTCATGGCCGGCTGCGCCAAGGGCACGCAGTTCCATTCTCCAAAGCAGAGGCAGCTGGAGCAGGCAGCCGGGAGTGCTCGATGCAGCGTTGACTTCCTTGTGGCCGCTATTACTTTGGGTATCGCCTCCTGTTGCCAGTCCGCTTGCCGGACGTTGTGGCCTATTTACATTAAGTTTCATTTTGGTTGGGAGGCCAGATCCTTTTCTTTGCTGTCCTCAATAAACACTTTGATGTTCAGCATCGCCCTGGCCATGTACCCGAGTTGGACGCAGAGGGTCCCGCAGCGGAGGGTGCTGCAAGGCCTGGCGTGGCTCTCCCTCCTCACCCTGACTGGCTTCGGTGTCGGCGCCAGAGAGTCATCGTTGGGACCCGAGATGCTACATGTTATCCTGGGTGTGCCGTCGCTGGTGTTCGTTGGTGTCTTGGCCTCCGGACTCGAAGTCGCTGCTTCCCTGTGTGTCCCAGCCGATGCACAGGGCTGGGCCATGGGATTTCTGAACTCGGCACAAGCAGCAGGTGGAGTTGCCGGAAGCTTGCTGGGCCCAGCTCTCTGGACCATCTCCACTAGGGAGGATCCCCATCCCACGCTTGGCTTCAGTGGATTCTTGCTTTCAGAGGGACGCCTCCCCTTCGTCCTCACAGCACTTGCTCTGGTGCTGTGCGTGCTGCTCCTGCAGTGCCCGCTGTGGCAGCGAGCGGAGCACACAGCGCACTCCGTGGACAGTGTGGGTATTGAGGGGGTTCCCATAGGCTGCAGAACAGAAGAGCCGATTGCAGAAGATGACCCCGAAAACTTCAAGCATTGCCGGGCAAATGAAGATGAGAACTTGCCTTTGAATGAGGACAACTCCAAAGCGTGCTAGTTGCTGATGTGGGCAGGTGGCAGAAAAATGGCCGCCTTCGCCGCGTCGACTTGTACATAGGCTCTTGCACGATACGAAAGCTCTGAGCACGGTTTTCGCCTGCACTGTCCAAACTATGGGCAGAACGTGACGTCTTCATAAATATGCCTAGATTCAGAGCAGCTTCGGAGGCGAAAACAAGCGTGGTTCATGTCTCCACGCAACGATGCTATTATGTTCACCGTGATCCAGGGACACGCAAAGCTACTCTCAGTCTTTAGCTCGACAGTCTACAGGGTGTTTACATCCGATTCTGTCCTCCTTTCGACAAGAATTCTGTAGACTTGGTTTCTGAACCGAGGAGACCTTGAAGTTGCAAAGGTTTTGTACGAACATCACATGCCCAGAGTTGACTGTGCAGTCGTGCAAGCACTGCTGATACGCAGAGTATCATCATCTGCACATCACCATCCCCCATCATGATCAGAGTAACCATAGTGAGCATCAGTGGGGCCGAGAGCAGTCTCACCATGGGCATCTTGCGGGGGCTTCAGGTTTCTTACGATCCTATCGGTCGATACGAGGTCGGATATGAAGCAAACACACGTGGTGTCTCCCTTTATTTGGTTACTTGCTCGGGCTCCCGCCATCTCTGGCAGGTACCCTGCGACAGCGAGGTCGAGATGCCTGCAACAGAGCTGCAGACTGATCAAACGGTCTTGCACGCAGCGGGGAAGCCTGAAGAAGTGCACGAGGAAGAGAAGGAAGAGGAGGAGGAGGAGGTGCTGCCTTTTGGGGCCACCACGCAGCCGCCAATGCATGAGGCTGACGCAGTGCGTGTCCCTGAAAGCCTACTGGAGGCCCTAACAACCCCAGCATCCGAGCTGGATCTGCACACGCTCGACAGCACCGATGCGGAAGCAGTTCTCCAACAAGATGAGCTGAATCAGGACTTGAAGAGGCTGAACTTAGCTGGTATCGACGCGCTTGCCTACATCTTGATGGTCAAGCATGGATCGCTGAAGCGTGCCTTCGACTGGTTTGACACCCACCGAAAGGGCAAGTTCAGTCATGTGGCATGGGCCACAGGCATGATTCTCCTTAGGATCAACCTGGAAACCCTGACAGGGATGAAGCCTTCTCAGGTCTTTAACATGATGGATGGGAATCCGCAAAATGGTTTTGTTTCCAGGAAGGAATGGACGAGGTTCTTTGAAGCTCTTGAGGAAGGCAGGTTGGCCGAGCTCCTCGAAAAGGCTGCAAAAGAGCAGGGCACCATTGCCGAGCGGGTGAAGCGGCGTGCGAGCAAGCTGGAAGCAGAACGCCCCCCTCCTGAAAAGCCTGAGAAACCCAAGCGAGGTGGGAGGAGACCCTCTGCAGCTATTGCTTCTAATCTCGTGCCCCCTGCGGACAATTCTGCTGGGGATGCCCTTGCGCAAGAGGAGGAGCTTTTCCGCAAGAGAGCGCGACAAGCCCTTAATGCCCTGGGTCCTGGTGATGCGCTGACTTTTGCCAGCGACACCTTCACCAAGTGGCAGACCGATGAGCTTTCAAGGCAAAAGGTCCTGTCGCCCGCAGCACTACAGGTTCCGGGGCTTCTGCTTCCGGAAGAGAAGTGTGACATCGTTGAGGCCGGGCTGCTGTGGATTCCAAGCGCCGTGTGTGTGTGTGCGCGCAAACAACACCAAGCTTGCGCAAGGAGGTTGCCGATGAGATGGGCTTGTGGGTCCTGTCCAACGCGCCGCAGTGGCAATTCGGTGATCTCTCTGGTGTAGGTGCACATGATTGTTATTGCTTGCTGCCACTTCGAGACCAATGAACGACCCTGTGACTTAGGAGAGCGATACCATGTCCAAATCGAAGGCCTGTTCTCGGTTCGAAGGGTGGGGGTGGTTCTACATTAGATCCCTTGAGGTCCTTCATATTTTTCCAGGAGGGTCTGTAATGAAAATTCCCCATTTTAAATTTAGAACTGCACCCGAATCAAGAACCTCAGCCCTCTCCAAAGTGCGATTTCGCCCTCAGCCCTCCTTGTTCAGTTGAGGGTTTAAGGCTATGCTTTTGAGAGGCCAGAATTGGCCACTCCAACACCATGGCGCTGAATACCTCGGCCCTCGGTGGAGACAGTGCCGCCATAGTCGTTTCGGCCTCGGGTCGACGAGGGGAGGGCCCGGCCCACTGGTGGGAAGTCCCCATCCACTTAGTTTCTCTGTATCATAAGAACATAGTGCAAGCACTGCTGGGGAAATCTGAGGGAAGTCACATGGTACTCTTAATGTGGTTCCTGACCTTGCTAAGAAGAAAGCGCGGACCCAAGAAAGGGTCATACGTTGGACCGCAAGTACTCTGAGGGTGGGGAGGAGGGGCCAGGGGGGGGGGGGAGGAGTATCCTTTATATATATATACACACACACACACACACATATACATATACGGTCAGCTCTCAAAATGATGGGTTTGGGGAACCCTAAATATTGTTAGGGGCCGCCTTAGAACAGTCACCCCAAAAAGGACACTGATTTAGAGAAATGATCATACATACATGCATACATATAGGTTTCTGATTGAGAAGGTGGCTATGCGTGTGTGTGTGTATATATATATATACGTATTGATTGTCCAAGCACTGGCTTTCCTGCCTCGAGTCGACCCGTTGCTATCAGGTGTGCAACCTCCACAATTTCGCCAACGAAGCCGGCGATCAGCTCAAGAAGCTCAAGGCTTGCGACTCTTCAGAAGGGTTGTGCTGCCCTAAACCCTAAACCCTAAACCCTAAACCCCAAACCCTAAACCCTAAACCCTTAATTAAACCCTAAACCCTAAACCCTAAACCCTTTACTTTAAATATCCCTTGGGCTTGCCGCTGTTCGCCAGGGCACTCACGGGCATCTCGAGTTCCCGAAGGACTTGACGCGGACGCAGCGCTTTGCCACGGCCAAAGCCGTGCCAGGAAGCAGATATTCAATATCTGCTTCACTACAGGGTTCAATACGCGGTTCAATACATTTGTCCAGTGCAAAGGTCGTGCATGCACTTGCTGCGGAGCAAGAGCTCACGACTCTGTCAGAGGCGCGCAGTGCAGAGCATATGCAGGGCGTGTGATGGCATATGGCGCATGGGAGCCCAGAGCTGCAGTCTGAAGATGTGCGAAGTCGTGCGCAGGGCTTTGCTGGTGAACGACGGCTTGTCGCTTACGACCTGGGGGACTTTGCAGAGAACCTCCGAAGGCAGCTGCGAAACAAAGGATAAGTTTGCGTCGATCGACACGCAACATATGCAACTCTGAATCGACCCCGACATCCTCGACACATCTGAATGCTTGGGGACCTGCTCTTGGCTCTTGGACCCCTAAACCCTAAACCCTAAACCCTAAACCCTAAACCCTAAACCCTAAACCCTGTGGCAGGATCCTGCAGGACATCGGGCCCGGAGAGACAAAGGCGGGGGGGCCAAGCCAAGTTCTCACCGCAACCGAGGCTTGTGTTGGCAATGTAGGGGGTACCGCTTTTATACCCCAAATCGAAGAGAATCCCCTGTAAAGGGACCAAAAGGGCACCCCAAACGTTGGCGCCTGGGGCCCTGGCAGACGTTGTCGGAGAAGCTCACTGCTGCGCAGCGACAGCTGGTCATCCCCTCAAAAGCGTTGAATCACGTGTTGCAGCACTCCTCCTCTAGGGGAGTGTGTTGATAGATGCTGAGAACGTCTTTAAGGTGTACACCATGGCATCGGACATGGATTTGTCTGCCTCGGGACCCAGGACCATACTCCAGGAGTGGCTGAGATCAAGAAGCACAGAGCAAACACACAGGAAACTCTTTCACCAAGGTCAGCGGAACCGCAAACTCGGGGCTGCAGGCTGATGTCATCTAACAGTCGTTTTGTTCACGACAGCTCTCGGCGTGCTTTTTGGTCAAAAATGGAGCGGGGGGGGGGGGGGTAGGTCTGCAACCTGCAGCAGTTCAAGGCGCAGGTGCCTTCTGTGAAATCTCTGCGGCCACTCTTCTTGCCCGCAATCGTGGGACCTTGGAGTGGAGGAAGGGGCCTCCAACCCGAAAGGTCCATGATCAGCTTCTGCACCTCCATGACGGAGCGGTGGGGCGCCCGGAGAGAATGCGCGGCAGCGCGAGCTGAGCTGACGGGTGATTTGGCTGCCAGGTCGTGGACTTCGGCACAACTCTTTCGGAAGAGGATCCCTCAGGGTTTAGGGTTTAGGGTTTTAGGGTTTTGGGGTCTTGGGGTTTTGGGGTTTTGGATTCAGGGTTTAGAGTTTAGGCTTTAGGGAGGGTTTAAAGGGTTGTTTTAAGGCATCTAGAGTTTAGGGAACTTTGGATGGCGCCTGTGTGCAGGGAATTTGGAGCCTGCTGTTAATGCTCGGGAACTACTCAACCAAAGAAACTACACGCACATCCCTATACATGAACAATCCGACACCCCCCCCTGCCCCACGGCCTAGAGAGACATAGAGAGATGCCAGCAGTAGTGTTTTCTGTCGTTGTACGCGCGCAACGGCTAAAACCATGGCCAAAAGCGAGAGCGTACTCTGGGCCCAAGTTAAAGAGCGCACGAAAAGAGCGCACAACTCGACCCCTCCCGAAGGGTGGGGGAAGGGGGCAATGCTAGAGGGGCAGGAGAGGTAGGGAAAGACCAGCATCGCAAACGCAATGCCTGACCATGCTGGACTGGACTACATGGACAGAGGTTTGCATGTCGTAACTAAGATTCAAGCCGTGCCCAAGTGCGCAGATGTATGCCAGGAGAGGAAGGTTGTGCACGAGACTTCAGCAGCGCTAGGGTTGACGACTCAAACACAAGGCCGCCACAGCACGAATCATCAGAGCGCTGATCACTGGTGCTGCTTTTGCTCTGCGCATCCCGCATCCCGCAGGTCGAGCAAGATTGCTGAGGGTGGCAAATCTGCGAGAGTTCCTCGACGCTGCTCGTGCCAGATTCAAGGCGTGGGAGTGGAAGCACCCACCTGTGCTTCAATCAAAGTAGCCCTTTGTAGGGTTTTCCGAAAATGGGGGGGGTGTTTTTTTGGGAATCCCTTTGAGGGGATTCTATACTATTCGGGGTACAAAAGGGGTACCCCCCATCTTGGGAAATGCCCTTTGTAGCCCTTTTGCTGGTTTTTGTCAGGCTCTCAAGGAGCCGGAGGAGAAGCTGACATTCGGACCAGGGCTCACGGCTATGCAGCTTGCGGCGGGGCACTTCGCTTCCTGCAGATATGTTACTCTGAACTCGAGAGCTCAAAAGTCGATAACCGGCATTTTCGCAAGGCGCTGGAAGAACTGGCCACCGAAGCGGGCTTGCGCTTCGCGAGGCAGCCACGAAACGTCACGACACTGGCTCTTGAGCCGGTGCACACATGTTGGCTTCCCATATCGCATTGCATTCCGCGAGGAGGTCGTCAGCAGATGGAGTGACGCTGGTTGTCTCGAAAGCAGAAATCCCACATCTGGGAGATGTTGAGGATGCAAGGCTGCGGGAGCCGGGAGTTGATTACCCTGTGTGTGTCTGTGTGTGTAAGCCTTCGAAGAAGCCAAAGACTGCCGGCGTTCCAGTTTGCAGGTCTTCCAAAGGCCCCGCCGGCCCCATACCCAATCCGGACAAGGACAGGGGCGGCCTATCATGCCAGCGTGGCAGCCAGCAAGAAAGTAGCATGGTCAAGATCCGAGCCTCTTGCGACAAGTCCTGCAAGGAAGCATCCGGCGGTGAGACTCGAGTGCATGATCCGGAGGTAGGTCGTGGCAGCTGCTTACTGTTAGTGCCCACCTGTGCACTTGATCCTATGGCACAAGCAAGCCAGGCAGGCCATGAGAGCCACGCTGCCGAAGAGGACTTCGACCCACCAGCGCGAGAGAGGGACTCCCAGGCGAGTCTTCACAAGACCTGGCCGGTGCTCTACACTTCCCTGAAAAGTACCGTTGTTGAGGTACGAGTACCCTGCTAACGCGTGGGGGCGTGTTGTTCCCGGGGCCCGAAAGGGGCCCGGAATGCATGGCACAGGTCTTTAAGCAGTAGCCAGGTGTCCGCTAGGTAAAAGCTGCGCTGAGGAAGAGAGGACAGGGGAAGGCAGCTTCCAAGTTCTGCAATCTCAATCGCGACTTCTGGTAGGTGTCGCTCATCTCAGAAGTTTTCGAGGCGCTGGGAAGTGAAGCTACAGTGGAGTTTGTCCGTCTGGGACGCATGCCACTCTCGGATCGAGGCATACTCTTCAGGCAACCACCGCGGCCAGCGAACTTTCCTTCGGTTCTCGGACTTGCGCGAATTCGCAGAGGAACCACATCAGCACATCAGACTTTGATAAGTGGCAATGGGGACTCGGCAGGACTTGAGGGAGCTTCTGCCAGAAGTGCGCAAGACTTTCCACCGCTTCACAGGCACTTGTGTTCGGCAATGTTCGGATATATTCTGAACATACACTAAACCCTAAACCCGTTGAGTCATTCAAGGAAGAGTCGGAGCTAGTTTCACCGGCGAGTGTAGCCGCAGGCGAGCTTGAGAATATCTATGACGACACCCAGCAGCTGCAGTGTGACGCGGTCATACAATTCATAATCATGGTTTTAGGGTTTAGGGTTTAGGGGATGGACCATAGAATTCTGGAGTTTTTGAGAGTTTTCGGGTCTCGAGATTTGCCGGCGCAGAATGCCTAGTTCAGATGGCCAGGTGACATGGGTGACCATTCTGCCAAGGGCCGCGGGCCCAAGTGCTTCTGCTCAACTGCATTGGGCTCAAGAGGAGACTTGAGGAAACAGAGGGTGCAATATGGTCCATCCCAGGACTCACGCTCCGCTTCTTTCAGGTCTTCATTCAGAAGGTCATTCGGAGGCAGCTCTGTTCACACTTAAAAAAGCGTCTTTTTCTGAACACCCCCCCCTCCCCTCCCCCCCCTCCCTCCTATTGTTCTCTCTCCCTGTTTGAAGAGGTTGGGTCCAAGCATCGTTGGCGTCCTGTGCGCGCTGGTTGATGGACGCGACCGTGTCTAATCGACGTTTACGGTGAAGCCAGCGACTCCGAAGGAGGGCCTGGCTTCTCTTCTGCTTAAGCGCTTAAGCACGCCGTGCTGCTTCCGACAAGCAGCTATGGGGGACCGGCCGCCATGTAGAAAAAACCTCTGAGTTGATGGCGTAGCGCCGTAGCGCTGACATGAATGCAAAAGACATGGCCTGGGCTCCCTGGAGCAGCCGCACAGTTGCTCTCACATTTTTTTTGGGGCGCGAAGACCCACAGCTATTCTCTCGACCCGGGTGTGCAAAGGAAAACTGTGGCCGGGACACACCTCCGCACAAGCAGGAGGGCAGTTTCGTGACCATTGGCAGCCTGTGTAGCTCCTGGCTGCAATGTAGTTCGGTCCTTATGTTCTCGGGCAGGGCCGAAACCTCCCGAAGGGAGCGGCGTTTGGGTGGAGATGCGCAAGTCTCCAATCGGTGCTTCTGCAGTTGTTGAGTTACACGTTTGCTTATCATGCTGTAGCTTCAAGACATTGTGTCTTCTCCCACGTGTACAGTCGAGTGGATGGATCATGCCCATCAAGCGAATAAGATGGCCTGCTTTGACTGCTGTAATGAGGCTATGGACGACTGCATGACTGCACTGACCACGTGTCACATCCTCTGTCTAAGATAAGGCCGAGCCAGCCTCCGCTTCTCAAGTCGCAGGCTTTGGGGGGTGACCAGGTGTCAAACATGCTCATGCTGTTTGTATGTACCATACTGTTATGGTCAATGCTAGACTCTTCTTGTGATACTCAGCATGGCTAGCATCCAGCAGTCCAAAATCGACACTTTCCCGTGCACATCTTTGACTTGAGAGGAGCCTCGTCGGAGACGGTTTCCTTCGGGCAGTTGGAGGACTTGTCTGCCGAGGCGTTGGTGGTCGACGGCATCGCTCTGCAACTTCTGAACGCAGCAAAGTGGGCCCTGCTGTCCTTGGAGTTTGCAGGTGAATGCCGGCGAACTGGAAAAGCTTTTTGGATTGCTCCGCTGTAGCCACTACAAGCGCAGCTCCGAGTCATTGTGGGAGACCAGCGAAAACCATTGCACAGCTTTGCCTGCCTGCATCCGCCCTCAGAGCTTTTTTCGGTTTTCTTGGCATCTCAGGACGAAGCCGTCCGACTTGCGTTGCTTCCTCGAGACGCCGAATGTTCGCAATCTGGATGGATTTGGGTGATTTGGGCTGGCGCGTTTTGATTTTTCCTCGGTTTTTGGTTTCTTTACTTTGGGTTGCTAGCCAGACCGTTCGTCTGCGTCTTGGTCTTGGTCCCACCCAGCAGCTGCAAGGAATCCATCTAAGTTGAATCATGCTGAATCAGGGTTCACCAGCGAAATCATCCGACTCCAATGCTTTATCAGCTTTGTGCTTCTCAGGTTGGTACGTCCTGCGCCACAACTCTCATGTGGTCGGACTGGGCATCGTTGGCATCGAGGAGCCTATCCTGGACGCGCGTACTGCCAAAGCATGCCGCTTAGTTGCCCCGCTACAGGCAACTATGCAGCGTCATGAGGCTACATGATGCCACATGAATGGGTTGGACCCTGAGGCAGTCTACCTTCGACAGATGAAGATGCCTCCTCAGCTGATGGCACAGACCCTTACCTCCGAGGTGGGGTTGCTGTCAGGCCTCTCAGCCTAGGCAGAGGAAATGCCTTTCATCTTCCTCCCGCAGGCTGGCTTTCACGAGGCAGCTGGCTATCGTTTCGCGCGAGCCTTCATCTCAGTTTGCGCGAGGACGTGAGGATGCCGAGCATGTTAAGCCCGCCTGGTAGATGTCCAGAATGTTTTGAGGTAATGCGGCTCTGCGTCCATCCCGCCTCTGTCTCAGATCGCTAGCATTCCTCTGTGGCGTGTGGCTCACAGGTCTACGTCCTGAAGTCATGGTCTACTCTACCAGGGATGCATGCGCATGAAGATTCCCCACGTTTCACACCACCTTTGCACGTTTGCAAATGAGTCTGGTTTAGGCCGTGCAGCGGCGCGGTCTGGGGAGCCACCTCCTGCACCACATGATGCAGGATCTCTGTGACGAGGCAGGGCCGTTGCCACAGATTTTGAAAGACTCATTTCCGCACATGTCATTTCCGTGAGTCCGAGTCAGTAAGATAAGGATAGCTCAACCGTTTTCTGAGCTGAGCTTCATGGTCAGTTGTCATTTTGATCGTTTGGCCTTGTGTTGACCACGGAAGAATGCAAAAGCGGAAGACACCCCAAATAGTTGCACACTGGAGACAGACTTGAGATTCTGTTGTGCCTTTCGCCGCTGCCGTGCGTGTGAGCCATAAAGTGGGATGTGTACGGGGAGGGTTGGGGTTGCAAACCTGGGTTCAAGAAGGCGGCAGAAAGTTAATTCGCCCAGAAATGAGGGGAAGAGGATAGGGAGGAATGTGTGTGTGGCCGAACCAGGGCAACAAGAGAGTGACAGTAGTCGCCAGATCGGCTACTTCTCCTCACGCTAGAAATCCGGTTTTTAGAAAGGCCAGCCTCGCCTGGCCAATGCATGCATACTGCTGTGAATCTCTCGCGTCGCCTCGACATCGCACACCGCCTATCCCAACTAATCCCCATCATGAATGTGTCGCATCGCAGGGAAATGTCGCACTCATGCGAGGCTCTGCCCATCAGAGATGCAAGGAGAAAGGGGCGAAAAGGTGTGAAATTAAGTAGGCGAAGCTCACATGAGGCTCCCACCACCCAAGTCGCGCGATAGCCCACGGCAAGGCGTCAAGCGTGTACCTGACGAGGCAGAGCTCGCTGGACGCACCCGCGATCTTAACAATCATGTCAGGCTGGAGCAGCCAGACCGCGTAAGGCTGACGATCATCGTAGATTCTGTTGACCCTTTCGACGCGTTGTCCGTTGTTTGATGTTGCTGCCACTGCCGCTGCTGCTTCGGCAATATGTCTGCCAATGATCGTGCACTGCTCAGGCTGGACGTTTCGCAACACTTTCTGTGCTTATGCACTGAAGGAAACATCTTCTTGCACTCAAGGAAGCATGTTTTTTTGCACGGAAGGGAACATCTCTCATCATCGTGTCGTCGTTCGAGCGCTCTTATCGGGCGTGGGTGACGTTGGATGTGCTCCTGGGTAACGTAGCTGCTTTAGATTCGCGAAGCTGCTGACAAACAGATTGCATCTCCACCAGGCATGGGTTCAGAGTTTAGGGTTTGGGGTATAGGGTACTCGTATAGGGTACAGTATGGTGCAGTATATGTCGGAACGCACGGTGAGCAGCAGGGCCGGGTAAGTACTGAGACCAAGGATGTGGATGCAGTGGGGGCCATGTTCGGGCTGACGCCTTGGCTGCTGCAGCTGTGGATGCGCGAGCAAACGAGGCCGACGTGCATATGAAAGACTTCGTGGGGAACTTCAGAACCCTTAGCCCGGACAGCCTGACACCCAAACCTCAACCCACGCCGTAAGCCCTAAACCCTAAGCCTCTCCTTCGCATATACATTTGCCCAGATAGGTTTGGGGTTTAGGGTTTACGCAATCGGTCATGCGGAGGGTTTAGGGTTAGGGTATAGCAGCTCAAGTCAATGCATGCACTAGCCAAACAGCATGTCAAGCCCCCCCTTGGGACAAACCCCAATAAGCCTTAGAACCCTAAAGACCAGCCTAGTGACCCTAAACCCTAAACACCAGTCCCATCAGGCCCATCAGGCCCCAGTAGGCACAACTCCCCCCAGTGAACCTAAACCCTCATGTCCACGAAAGCTTGGATTTTGCCCACTTAAATAATGCCCGCGCGAAAATCTGGATAATGCCCGCGAAAATCTCGATCCTGTTTTTCGAACTGGGGAAATTGGCAAAATCCGAATCCCAATTAGGCATCTGACGTCGCGCTCGATATGATACGCGAAAATAGGGCGTCGCGCTTAACTTGAAAAATTCAAGATAAGGACGCGTTGTCAAAATTATGGTCCCTCTTTGGATCCCTATTATACATATTATACCCCAAAAGGGATCGTAATTTGGACAACCACCCACATAGCTCAGCCGACAAAACTCAAGGGCCTTGAGGTTCCAATCTAACAAAACCCTAAATGCATAGCTAAACCCCAAACCCAAAACTCTAAGCCCTGCCCTAAACTCACTCACACCCGGCAACAACCTTAAGAGAGCCTGCCTGGGCCACCTGACATAGCCCCAAAACGAGCCTGTCTGGGCCAGACAAGGCCTAAGCCAGCCCAAACCCCGAGTGCCAGGCCGATCTGAGCCAGCAACCTAAACTCTACAACCCCTAAAGTCCAAACCTTGCCCCAAACCTTGAAAAAAGCCTGAGCTGGGCCAGCCACCTTGCTTTCAGGCTGGTTTGGGTGGCGCACGGGAGCGACCCCAGCAGCGGCCACCACAGCGTTCTGTGGTTGCAACTGCTGCAACTGCTGACTTCCCAAGTAGGGCTCCAATGCTTTGGGGGTCTTAGGTCTTTATTGTTATTGTTGTTATTATTACTGCTATTTTTTATTATCATGATTACTATGATTTTTCTTCTTCTTCTTCTTATTTTGTAGGTCTTTGATGTTTAGGTCTGAGGTTCAGGCTTTCGAGTGCACACAAGCTGGAGAAGGCAACGGTCCTACGGGCGGTCAGTGGCCGATGCCGAGAACTCATAGATCGGCTCCAAGCCACACCCTCAGAGACCTTGTCTCCTAGCTTCTGTGCTTAAAGGCACTTGAAAGCCACTACAAAATAACCCAAAAACCCTGGACCCTAAAGCCTAGAACCCTCTTCTGACAGGCACGCTTGGCCTTGCAGTTTCCAGACTTTCTCCGTGACCCTCTGAGTGAGCTGGATGCGAGCACGCCTCTCCCTCAGACCTGCACCACTTCGGCAACAGATTCTTCTTATGGGCAATTCTCTAAGTTGTGTTCCTTTCGAAGTCTTTCAAGATAGGGCTCCATCTTATCATAGGAACCCCAACACATGACCATGACCTCGAGACAGCCACTTGTGAAGAGTGCTAACTGAGTAGCTTTTTTGAGAAGAGTGACGCCCAGAAGGGCATCACCTCTAGATCATCTTGTGGTGCAAGCCCAAAACTTTCTGCATGAGTTCCCACGACAATGTTGCAAAGAGAGGGGTTCGTATACTCTGGGTTTCCCCGTCTTTTGTTTTTTCGCTTGAGGGCCGGTGCTTCCAGGCGCGTGGGATTTTATTTTGTTTTTTTTTTTGGTGGGGGGGGGGTGGGGGTGGTTCGTATCAAAGGGTTTCTAAACCCTCGTAGGATGTCGACCGCCCCTTCAAAGCCCCCTCTCAGCCCGAAGCACTTTCACTCTGCGCTGTTCCTGGCTCAGGCTCCGCGGGGTCCTTGCCGCCTTGGGTTCCCTGGTGGCTGGGCCGCCTGATGCACAGGCGCGTGCTCCCGTGAAAGTTCGGGGTTTGTGCTGGGAAGTCGGGAGCTTTTGGGGCTCAGAGGACTCAGAAACTCAGAAACGCAACTCAGGATCTGGCAGATGTTCGGAGCTATGCCTGCGGATCGCGGGACACTCACAGCCAGTCTCAAAAAGCTGTCTGCACATGGCACAGACGTGTCAGATATTGATTAGAGCTTAGGCGCAATTTGTCTTGCTGCCGCTATGCCCTTGTCAGGACCGTACTTTCTTCTTCAGTCAATAACATTCCCTTGAGTTCCACAAGCGTAGCTCTGCATAGATCTCCGCATTCTTATTGCTTGCAGGGCAAGTCTCGATGCTCTTGGATCGTCGCCAACCAGGACATGGATGTCAGCAGTTTGCCAGCGCGAGGGTTTTGCATTTTGGCGCGGAGGCTTTCTGATCGCTTCACGCAGGTTATCCTCGACATGCTTGGCCCCCAGGTCTTCAAGCCTAAGCCAGCTATGCTACGCAGAAGCACCAAGTAGCACGTCGCAGACTGAGCTTTGCAGCCCAAGGCTTCAGGGTCGGGAAGTCAATGAATCCATCCTGCGGCAGGCGCCATCTCGCGCCGGTCATGTTTCCTCATGCAGTTGGGAGATGGCTTGGTGTCAGGCTGTTCGCCAGCTGCCATGGTTGACTGACACGCAAGGCTTCCGAGAAGATCAAAAAGGGCATGACTACTCCATTCAGCACCGGGGGCAAGAATGGAACCGCGTGTAAACCTCTTCCGCCTCCCCAATGTCATCCCTGAGCTGTTGAGAGTGTGCCATAGGTCGAGTTGATGTTGTATGTGCGATGGACGCGTGTTCGCATGATGCGTGGCCGCAGCTTCCTAAACCAGATTCTACACATTTGCGAGCCGGCTACGTGTGCCCTAGTGGCACGAGTTTTAGATTCTCAACGACTCTCGGCAACATCGAGAGGGAGACGGAGAGAGGCTCTTCGCGTGCTACGTAGAGGAAGACGAGGAGAGAGAAATAAAGACGTGTGGGGGGCCTCCAGGGGCTTGAGGAGCCCGGCAGCAGAATAATAAGAAGAAAATCAGAAGAAGAAGAAGAAGAAGAGGGAGAGGGAGAAGAGGAAGAATAAGAGGAAGAAGAAGAAGGAGAAGAATAAGAAGAAGAAGAAGAAGGAGAGCGAGAGAGCCATTAGTGTGTCAGGGCCAAAGGAGGTCAAGCACGTTTTCCTGTTCCCAGAGCTTGTCGAGGGGAGGGACCGGATGCACCAAAGGCAGAGAGAGAAAAGGGAGAAATGAGAGAGTGCCAGAGAGAAAAACAAAACGCTAGCAGGAAAAGAAGAGGGAGAATCGAGAAAGAGAGCGACAGACACAGAGAGAGAGAGAGAGAGAGAGAGTGGGAGAGAGAGTCAAAGAGGGCGGCAGGGGGGGGCCTCAAAGTGCGCAGAAGAAGAGGTATATAGAGAGGGCGGGTAACCCATGTTGTGACTGCTCTGACTTTCATGTCCTGGCATTTTTCAAGGGTCACTGAGCAGAGCGTGTTTCGTGGAAGAAGAGAGAGGTGAGTTGCAGAAGTTTGGCCTCCGTCTTCGGGACTCGGAGTAAAAGTGGCTCTGAGTCAGAGCTGTGGGGGAAAGAGGGGCTATGCCGCTCGACTGCGCCGGCACCTGCACAGACCTTTAAGCCAAGAAATAGTGAAAGAAAGAAATAGGCATGATTGGGACCCCGTGCTCCATACTAGCGGGCGCGCCGCGGGAACGGGTATCGCCCTCAAGCCAGAAAAAAGAAAGAGAGTTGGGGCACCTGCCCTTTCCAAGCCCTTAAAACGAAAGATAGTGGCAGCAGTCATAGCTAGGTTTCCCGAAGGCTTACATTGCCGGGAGACATCAAGCCCAATGCCCCGTGATCACGTTTGGCAGTGTCTCACAACAAAAGGGGACTATCCCCGGCAACCGCCAAATCGTGGAGCAGAGATGACGAATACATTTGTCTCTCCCCCCCGAGAGTTTTTGGTATCATTTGCGCCACAGAGGCCCCTGAGGGGCGAGGGTGGCTCCTGCGTGCTGGAAGGAAGGAAGGCCGATGCATGGTCGCTCCCTAGGCCCCTCAAAAACAAAAAGTAGAGAGAGAGAGAGAGAGAGAGAGAGACTGTGCGCGGGGGAGCCCAGGGTCCCCCTCAAGCCCAGCAGAGGAAGAAGAGGAGGAAGAAGAAGAAGACAGCAACTAGCCGAGCGGTCCCGACTACCGGGCGGGCGAGGACGCCCAGATCCTTGCCCCCATGCCCCCAAGAAAGAAAAGAAAGAAAAGAAAGAAAAGAAAGAAAAGAAAGAAAAGAAAGAAAAGAAAGAAAAGAAAGAAAAGAAAGAAAAGAAAGAAAGAAAGAAAAGAAAGAAAAGAAAGAAAAGAAAGAAATGAAAGAAAAGAAAGAAAAGAAAGAAAAGAAAGAAAAGAAAGAAAAGAAAGAAAAGAAAGAAAAGAAAGAAAAGAAAGAAAAGAAAGAAAAGAAAGAAAAGAAAGAAAAGAAAGAAAAGAAAGAAAAGAAAGAAAAGAAAGAAAAGAAAGAGAAGAAAGAAAAGAAAGAAAAGAAAGAAAAGAAAGAAAAGAAAAGACAGAAAAGACAGAGAAGACAGAGAAGACAGAAAAGACAGAAAAGCCAGAAAAGAAAGAAAAGAAAGAAAAGACAGAAAAGAAATACAAGAAAGAAAGGAACGAAAAGAACGGAAAGACCGAAAAGAACAAAAAGAACGAAAAGAACGAAAAGAAAGAAAAGAAAGAAAAGAAAGCAAAGAAGAAATGAAAGAAATGAAAGAAATGAAAGAAATGAAAGAAATGAAAGAAAGAAAGAAATGAAAGAAAAGAAAGAAAAGATAGAAAAGATAGAAAAGATAGAAAAGATAGAAAAGATAGAAAAGATAGAAAAGATAGAAAAGATAGAAAAGATAGAAAAGATAGAAAAGATAGAAAAGATAGAAAAGATAGAAAAGATAGAAAAGATAGAACAGATAGAACAGATAGAACAGATAGAACAGATAGAACAGATAGAACAGATAGAACAGATAGAACAGATAGAACAGAAAGAGCAGAAAGAACAGAAAGAATAGAAAGACTAGAAATGTTAGAATGAATAGAAAGAATAGAAAGAATAGAAAAGACAGAAAGCAAGAAAGCAAGAAAGAGAGAAAGAGAGAAAGAGAGAAAGAGAGAAAGAGAGAAAGAGAGAAAGAGAGAAAGAGAGACAGAGAGAAAGAGAGAAAGAGAGAAAGAGAGAAAGAGTGAAAGAGTGAAAGAGAGAGAGAGAGAGAGAAAGACCCACAGCGGCTGCACTCCACTGGTGAGACATTCGGCCACTTGTCCTTATCAGAGCTCTGTACCTAGGAGCAGATCTTTTCCGAAGAGGCCATTGAAGATTCCCACGATTCTTTCGTTTAGGAGTCATGGCGAGTCATCTTTCTGCAGGGCCTCGGCTGCGACGAGAAGAGCAACTTCGACGACTCCGTGGGTACAGTGCTGGTGCGTGCCTGTGTCGGTCCTGTAACCAGCATGTGCATGTCCAATGCCTGAGAGCAGGGCCGCGTGAAGACTTGAAGCAGCTCTCGAACGGCGATTTGGATGCGCTGTCCTCATTCTTGCAGTACTACTGAGGCATCGCGAGGTGGAATGTGCAGCCAATGTACTGCACATCGAAGAATGTGTCTTCCTCAGGCCAACGGCCTGAAGCCCATGTCTTCAGCCATGATGGGAGCTGAGGCCTCCCATGGCACCCCATATTTCGGAGTGCTTCTCAGAAAGAACTACTCACCATGTGCCGGAGGAGACGGAAGAGAAGCAAGAGCTGCTGCCGCGGAACTCTCCCTTCGTGGGCTCCTTGCGCCACGCGCCGCAGCAGGCGCAGCGCAGCAAGAGCCAAGTTTCCGAGGGTGCTCTCAACTCTGGGCTGTTTTTTGTACCCCCTGTCCTTTTCCGGTGCCTAAACCCTAAACCCTAAACCGTAAACCCTAAATCCTAAATCCCTATCCTCATATCTTCAGTGCCATGAAGGGCCGGTGCATCCTAGGTTGTTCCCAAGTGAGGAGAAAGCATGAAACAAGCATCTGCGTGTGTTGCTTGAGCTTTGTCAGGTAAGGATGCTTCCGAAAGACCCCCCACCCCCCCAAGACTGTACCAACCAAGAGGATCTGAGCCCTAAAAACTCTGAACTGCGGCAGATACTGCGGCCCCTATTTTCCCCAAACCCTAAACCCTAAACCCTAAACTTTCAGATGCTCCTGGGCCAACTGGATCGGCTCATGCACCGACGCGCCCCTGCGCGCCTCATGGATGAAGGAGGGGCTTTGCTAAATAATTATAATGATAGTAGTAAGAACAATGAAAAATAACAACAAGAATAAGAATAACAATAACAATAATAATGATAATACGTATAAGTCTTCTTATTCTTATTATTACGATGTTGAGCAGGCTTCATTTTACAGACACTCACTCCTCCGCCGCACGAGCATCAGAGCTTCATCCAATTAAGCTGTGTACAATGCAACCAAGCTGCCGTAAAAGGGGTTACTGGAGTAGGGCGTGAAAGTTTGGGATCCAATGAGCATTAGCCTGCCTCGAACCGTTAAGGACGAATCTGGTCTGATCACTGAGGAAGAGGGCCCACAACGCATTAGGGTAGGAGACCTTCTTCCGCCCTACAATGCCAGCAACATCTCCTCCCAAGAACTCTCTGTGGATATTGGTTTTAGGGACGCAGGCCAAGGCCACGCCGCAGGCCTGCATGGCTTTGCACATGTAAGTTTTCATTCTCCTAGTGAGGCGGGACATGGGCATTCCAGGAGTCAAGAATCCACCACAAAAGCCATGATTAACGAGAAAATCGCACACCAGCTCTATCCAAGACATCCTGCTGTTATCATCAACGTTCGGCAAGTACCATTCACCATCCTTGATGAATTGAATAACCGCCGTCATTCCAGGAATATTTCGGGGCGTGGAGCCCCAAGAAATGTTTTCAAGCAGGATGTCCCGAGGGAGCGAAGTGAACACGAAACTTTGTCTCAACACTGCTGCGTATCGAGGATATGATCGACAGACTGAATTTTGCAAGCTCTCAGGGACAGGCACACCCTTACGTACAAAGTCTAGAAAGGCTTGGGAATTAAGGGGCCCCGCACTAGAAGAGGTAGACGTCTGCTGGGCAGGACAAGTCTGCTTACCCCATATCCTCATCGCGCAAGTGGGACGACCGATACTGGTCCCGGCACCATTGTGCTCGGGTTGAATGTCTTTCGAAATCGGTAAATGCGTACTTGAAAAGCGCTGCCACAAGGTGGATATCAGGTGAGACTGGAGCTCAACAGCATCGCAAATTTCGTCATGCACCATGTCAATTCTTGACAAGTAAACCTTCCTGGCGATAGACTTCGCAAGCGAATCAGCCTTGCTGTTGAGCTCAGTCCACAAGCGAGGCTGTAAAGATGAGTTTTCCGAAATGTGAGCTTTAACCTTGAAGCAAGCAATGCGGTCATTAGGACGACTTCTCATGCACTCGACAACTGCCGACCATAAGTCGGCATTATCAACCGTAGACAATAAGTGCTGCTCCCACTTATTGGCAGCCAACCATGCAAACGTGTTGACTACGCCAGCGCAGTCACTGCCAATGCGAATGTCACCAGACGAATGTTTAAGGGCCAAAAGCAACGCACCTATTTCTGCCCGTTGAGAAGTAGGATAAAGGCCTGGCAGTTCCTGTGACACGGAATGACCA